ACAAACAAAAAACAATCAAACGGACCTGTTCCATACCCCAATACCTGTCTTGGGTAAATGGTACTAACATCTACTCAAATGCTGAAAGTCAAATCTAGAATTCATTTTAAGACATTTTTTTAACCATGATATCACTGGAATAATCTTCCTAGAATGTAAATCTGACCATGAAATTCTACTAGTTCAGTGGGTTCCCATTACCTATAGTCAACAATGAAAACTTCTTAGCGTGTCAACCGAGGCATTTTCTGGTCCTTGTATATTTTTCCCAGCTTCTTCACTTGCCATTTGCTGTCTGGCAACCTGTGATCCAGCCATACTGTCATTTCCCCAAAATATACCGTGTCTTTCTAAGCTTTTGGGCCGTATAAACGATCTTCCCTATAGTCACACCTTCCCTCTCTATCTCTGTCTACCCTGTGGAATCTTGTTCAACTGTTAAGACTCAACTCTAAACATTCCCCTTTGTGAATTTTTCCCTCATACATAGACATTCACACCTGCCCCTTGGGTGTAGTTGGGTGCCTTCCTTTTCTGTTCACATAGAGCTGTGCACAAATTTAAAAAGAACCTTTATCACATATAATAATTGTGGTATATGTCTGTCTCCCCTACTACACTCTGAGTTCCTTGACAGTTGATACAGTTTCTTATTCATCTTTGTATTCCCAGAACTTAACAGTGACTGTTCCATTGGGGTGCTCTATAATATTTTTTTCTTTTACAGAATATATATTTGGATTAGCCATGTATATCTGGATATATTTCTAGATATCTGATTGGAACAAACTATGACTTGGGTTCTTATGGCAAATTTCCCTTCCATGGGCATTGGGGCTGCTCCTTGACCCAGTGTATGTGTAGTTTCTGCAACCAATGTCAGTATTTCCCTGTCATTCAAACTGATTTTAACTCTTGATATTCAAGAGTTTACTATCAACTCTATGATTCTTAAAGAATAAACCTGTAGGTAAAGTGCTTAATTATTCATTTAGGAATATGGATTTAGCTGGCTTTATATTTCATAAAGATTCATAGACTGTTGCCCCCAAAGCTGAGTTGCTTAGTCTTAATCTAAGTATAGATGAGCTGTTTACTGGACAGACTAAGAGTTTATCCAGTCCAATATTCTAACATACTACTAACTTACTTTACTATGGAAGACTTTCTCTAAAAAGCTGGCATTTATTATAATTTTAATACCCCTTTTGACAATGAAAGCTGAGGCGTAGGGATTATTTTAGTCAGCTCAGGCTGCTATAACAAAATACCATAGACTGGATGGTTTAAATAACAGACATTTATTCTTCACAGTTATGGAGGCTGGGAATCTGAGATCAGGGTGCCAGCATGGTTGGGTTCTGGTGAGAGCCCTCTTCCTGGCTTGCAGAAGGCTGCCTTCTAGCTGTATTCTCACATGGCGTTTCGTTAGTTTCTGCCTGTGGAGAGAGAAAGAGAGCTCTGGTATCTCTTCCTAGGGTATTAATCCTATCATATGGGCCTCATCATCATGAACTCATCTAAACCTAATTACCCCCCCAAAGACCTCACCTCCAAATATGATCACATTAAGAATCAGGGCTTCAACACTTGAATTTGGGGGTGGGATGAGGAACAAAAACATTCAGTCCATAAACTGTTTAAACCACTTTCCTATGTGTACTCAAAAAACCTAGTAGCTCGGCAAATGTTGACTCCAAATATTTTCTTTTTCTTAATAATTTGTCTTTATTGCTTTTTATACATGGGTTCTTAACTAATTAGCCTTTTGAAAAGTAAAATGTTACTAGTTCTCACTGATTACCTCTGATATATTCCCCAAAACACGAATCTTCCTTTTGTGCTTATTTTTCATATATGTTTATTTATATTTCTCAACTGTGTTAGTGAAGACAAACAATATAGGGTCTCTCTCCCTCTTACTCATTAAAGTTTTCTTGGGAAAAAAACAGAACTGGGCTCTTGGTGCTTCTGGCAATTTTATTCTCACACAAGTAGCACCCAGATTGTAATTCTGATAAGTATTTCAGTTCTTTCTTGAAAAATTAAATTCACAAAACAATTGATTATCAGTTATAAATGGCAAAAACACCATCTGGTTTTCAAAAATGGTTAAATCCATGTAGCAAGGGATAAAAATGTTGGAACTTGTAGTTGGCGAGGAGTTCTAGTCCATGAAGCAGAAAATGACAAGCTTTACTATGAGAAAGCCAGAGTAGTCATAACTTGCATTTAGCGGCTGTGGGAATTTGATACGTTCTTCACATGTTCCATATGTTAAAGCACTTGGCGAGATCTTTAGTGTGAAAGAACTGGGGGTGGGAGAGGAGTGTGGTTAGTGGATAGGGTAGCAACAGCTTAATCCTAAATGTTCAGCTCTGGTTCTTTCCATGTAGACCCAGAGCTAAAGATGTACCATGACCTGGGAATTTGAATGTGCAAGTTCTTTAAACTTATGGCACAGGTGGCATTTTTTTTTTTGGTGGAAATTTCTAAAGCTATTTGCATTCCTCTGGTGAGGTAAGTCATACAGCATTAGCATTTCCTACGGAAATGTCCCATGTTGTTCTTTGCCAACTGGAAATTTGAGTAGGTGTTCATTTGATGTGCCAAGAGAATGAAGGGAGATGAAAACACTCCACATCTTCCAATGTCCCCATACTGTGTTCCTAGTGTGGGAGAACTGGGGCCTGACTAGATTCTCTCGGAGATTCAGCTTCATGAGGAATGCTTTTCCTTAGGAGTATAATGCAATCCTGTTATTGAAAAGAAAATGTTTCTGAGCTGCTGGCATAATTTCACCGTATGTTAAAAACGTAGCCATCCTATGGTTATTGTTCATGAATTGTAATGTAAAATATATTCATCGACTTTACAAATATTTATTGAGGCACAGTATAGCATAGTGGTTAATTGCATAAGCTCTGTCTGCACCTTAGAAACTTTGACCTTGAGGCAATGACTTAATCTTTCTAACTATGTTTACGAAATATAAAATGGGCGATAACAGCGTGTGCCACGGGAATTGTTCCAAGGATTAAATGAGATTAGGCATGCAAGATACTTAATGAGAATTTAATAAATGCAAAAATAGTAACAATAATAATAGCAAATATTAATATTATTATGTGCTAGGTTCTGTGCTAGGGTGGTAGTTTTCTTGATATATAGAACCTTACTTTACCGTTTCCACATCATTTTCAGAATTTATAAGGCTTCAAAGAGTTTATCCTGATTTTGTTGGGACTGTTTTGCATTTGATCTGCTTCAGGTAGCTTTACTTCCAGATGTGATAAGAATAGGTAAGACGTTGCAGACTGGACATTATTCTGGTGACTATGTGGTCATGGTGTCCTGCCTCATGTAGTGCTGTTTGCCTGCTGAAGCTTTCCCACTTCTGGAGTACTGCCTGCTTGCTGTTCATGCATGAGGCCTGTAATTACAGAGCAGAATATCCGGGTCTGTGAAGACAGGGCAGTCTTGAAATTAGTTTATGCATAATAAATATAAGAGGCTGTTTTTAAGTGTAACTCAGTTGGCAGGTTGGCATATCTTAACTTCCTTTTCTATATGTAACTTTATTTATTTATTTATTTATTTATTTATTTATTTATTTATTTATTTATTTATTTAGCAAGATGAGGATAGAAGGCCCAGCCAAGTCATTTGGTGCGGCTCCTCTAAGACGATGGCTCAGATTTAGCAATTTACATTCAGTAATCTCTTGGTCATTTAGCCACAGATAATTTGTCATGGTTTGTTTTAGCTGTTGTGATATTGATATTTATTATGCAAATTGTATTTCCTACATCTTATTGTTCTGCATTCTATGAATACTTAAATTATTATAAACTTTACACTTAATATGGCTCGTCCTTCAATTTGATGCTTGAGCAACAGAGGGTCAGAGCGCACAGGATCTTCTAGAGGGGAAGAAAATAAGTAATTAAAAAGCAGACAAACAAGAGAGCCGGCTGCCTGGTTCAAAAGAAAGCAAAGGCAATTTCGGGGAAGGAGAGCGAGTCGGGAGGAGTGAGTCTCTTCAGCAGGGAAAACCTCTCCCGGAAATACGGGAAGCTCAGAGCACCTGTTGGTCCCCAGACGCCTTAGGAGGGACTAGGGGTATAGAGGAAGGGTGGGTGGGTTGGAGCCCTGAAGGAGGAAGATGGCAGACCCTATCTTCACCGCGCTCCTCGCCCTCTCCCTCGCCCAAACTCCACCCGAAGCCTTGACCGAATATTTTTTTTGTTGAGTATGTGTAATCATGAGTAAATATTAAATGTAAAATATTTAATATTACATATGGTCACATATATTATATTAATATGACATAATGTGACATATGGTCACATATATATATATTAAAGCCAGGAAGGAAACCTTCAGTAAGCTGGGGGGCCTGATCCAATCCCCCCTCGAGCTACCTTTCCTGAGAATCTACCATAACGACACCGACTCGAAAAATCCCAGAGCCGGACTCGCGCTCCTTTCTCCCAACTATGCCCATGTCTACCGCTAGGTTAGCTCCGCCGGACGTGCTAAGCACGCATGCACTTCTTCCAGATTGTTTTGTCAATCCGGGGACCTGCACTCTCCCTCTCGAACAGCCCCCGTTTCCCGAAGATCTATTCCTTCGGTGCAAGGTGAGTGATGGAAAATTGCAACGTCTGGTTTCCAGGCCAGATGCACTCGGTGTATCGGGCAAGGGAAACCTCCAAGGGAGGTTCTTCAGTAGTCGGTCTGATATAGCGTTTGCTATAAACATTCCTAATAAAGGTGTACGGGAAGCTAGACCTGTCCCCCTGGAGCCCAAGCCTCCACGCGCCAGGGGCCTGGGAGAACACTTTTTCCTAGAACACCGAGAAGCGAAAAAGAATTTTAACATAAACATATTTGCATACGCTCCTCCCCTTAGCCCCGCCCCTAGGTGGCGCGGGCGCGCCGCCGAACGCCAGCGCCAGGGGGCGGGATGGGGGAGGGGGCGAGTCCTCGGAGAGCCGGGTTGGGCTGGCGGCGCTGTGATTGGTCTGTCAGGGCTCCGCCCCCAGCGCATGTAATTAGCATCTCATTAGTTGTCCGCACGGGCTCCGGAGGAAGCCTCCGCCGCCAGTCTGAGGCAGGTGCCCGACATGGCGAGTGCAGTGCTGCCGAGCGGATCCCAGTGTGCGGCAGCGGCGGCGGTGGCGGCGGCGGCGGCGCCTCCCGGGCTCCGGCTCCGGCTCCTGCTGTTGCTCCTCTCCGCCGCGGCACTGATCCCCACAGGTAGGTGCGGGCACCAGCCATTTGGCCCCCTAAATCTCCTAAGGCACCCCAGCAGCCGTAGCCATGGAGGGGGAAAACGTTTCCATGACAACCTTCCCCCACTTCCTAAATCCAAAGCGGAGGGAGTGTCGAGCGGAAACTCAGGGCTGAGATGGAAGGAGCTGAGGGGATTGGTAATTCCCTTCTCCCTTGCCCAGCTGGATGTGAATTAGTGCCCTTAGGGATGGCTGCACCCACACCTTTCTTCCCGGCTTGGCGCGGAGTGGTGTGAGAATGGGGGGCCCAAGGGCTAGAGAATATGGGGGAAGGGGGTCGATCGAAGGCACCCTCCGAACCGTCCAGACCCTCCCAAACTCGCTGTTGTCCCCGTAACTTGCAGGTCCTCGCGTCTCCAGGGCTGTCCATTCGCAACCACCTCTCCAGCGGGCCCCCCAATTCTCCATCCCCGAAGCCTTCCCATGGCTGATTAGCAGCCGCCTACAGCGTGATTTCTCACTGGTCCACAGGACATCCCTAGACTTGTCTGATCGCTTCTGCTCTCCCCGCGCTCAGCCTTTCCCTCCTGTCCCCCGAACTGCGCGCCCCTAGTGCTCCCTCCAGTCGGACCGCGGTCCCTCCGCCTGGCTGCAGGTCTCCTTGGCCCGGCTCCAGGTAGGGAAAGTTCCCTGGGCCCGGCCCCGTGGGGGGCGGTTGCTGTCGCTGCCTCTGCGGGAAGGAGCCGGGAGCCGGCAGCCCGCCTACCCCCACGGCGCTCTCCGCCGCGAGTGGGGACACCGGATTTTCAGGCTGCCTGTCCTTTCGACAACGCGGGGGTGGTGGAGGGAGCGTTCGCGGCCTCTGCGGCCAGGCGGGCACCCTGTGGGCCTCCGGGCGCCCCCTGTGTGCAGAGCTGTCTTGGGAATTTGGCCAGTGGAGGCTTTGCACGCCCGGCGCCTTCCCCGAAGACACTGAGCACTGGGCAGGAACACGCTGTGTCGCTGCCCGTGTGCCGGGCGCGTTGGCGCGGTCGGGAAAGAAGAGGGCAGTGTTTGCTTTTGCTAACAAAAGGGAGCTGGAGCTCTTCCCCAGCGGAGAGGCCGGCGGTGCTGCACCCTGCCTCGGGTTCCCGCCACCGCCGAGCTCAGCGGCGGCGCGGTGTCCCCACGCCCCTGGGCCCCTGCAGCGGGCGCCGGGCGGGAAGCCGAAAGCGAGAGGCACGGGGCCACCGGGGAGGGGGGAGGTGCAGGAGGGAATGCAGCAGGGCTCGGCGCCTGCAGAGCCCCTCCTTGCAGCTCCGGAGCTGCAGGACCCGAGAGCAACAAGTGGCGGAGGACAGCAAGAGCTCAGCCCCCACCTGCAGAGCCCCCGGCCCGGGCGGGCGCAACGCTGGGGCCACCGTGCTGCTCCCGGGCGTCTCTCAGCTTGGGCTGTGCCTTTTGTTTACACGCTAGAGGACACACAGTTACGTAAACACCGCAGGAGACACGCTGTAGGAAATGGGGATGTCTGGGGGGTGCTAGCTTTGGATTTGGGGAATGCCGGGTTGGTTGCTTCCCCCCAAAACAGGCTTGCAAACGAGCTCGGATTGGGGAACATATTGGAGACGTATATAGAGGTGGGAATCTGGCAGCAGCTTCAGTTCCAGAGCTGAGGATTTTTTCTTTCATGCCACGGTCTGTCTCCGGATGTTGTTTATATGTTTTTCCTCTGTGAATTCTTAATTTATGAGTTACGAGATAATTGGGTTCAACCGATGCCGATGTGGTTACAACTTCATCTCGGGTTATGTTTCTGACTGGATGGGTTCAATAAAGTGTTCCTGAAAGAGATCCCTCGTGCTGCTGCATTGTAAAAAGCGCCAGTGTCAGTTAAACGTGAGCGTGAGTAAAGGCACGGTAACGGGCGCATAATAGAGGCAACAATAGACTTGTATTGGCTGTAAGAAAAAAAAAAAAGACAAGAAAAAGGAGAGGGAGAAGCGCTGGTCGGTAATATTGTCTTTCGACTAAAAATGGGAGCGGTGCAATGCCGCTTGGCAGCAGAGTAGGATTAGATTATACCTCCCCTTTCAATCTTGCTCATTGAAGACACCAGGTAGTAGCCACGGTACTTACTATATTTGTCACTATCTCGCAGTAAGAAGTTGCCTTCCCAGCGAGGGATATATGCTGACTTAGAAAGGAGCGGTCTGGAACTTAACCGTGCATGTCAAAGCTACAAGAAAATTCTGTTGCCAGTTACCATGGAAGCAGCTTCTTGCTCTTGTGTACATCCCTGTTTGTACGCTGGTTATCAGATTGTGTTCAAATTAGGAAGTAATTGGGTTTGATTTGTAGTGAGGGGATGAGATGATTTTCTTTAAAAATTTTTTCTCTTAATGCAGTGTGTGTGTGTGTGTGTGTGTGTGTGTGTGGTGTGTGTGATCAGTTTGAGAAGGGGTCTTGGTCTAGCCCCAGGTCCTAGACCACCAGGTGGGCACGGGATGACTTTTCTTCCTCAGTCCTCTTTAAGCTGTTTCAGAGGCCACCGGTTCCCAATCCCAGGGTTAGAGAAACCTGTAGGAGCTGCCTTCTAACTTCAGTAGGCTTGTTTCATTTATATCCCTGCTGGGATAGCGATCTAGGGCCATTGAGCAGTAGGTTCTGGTTCTGTCTTCCTCTGTAACTGAATCCATCCATCCCCTAGAGAAAAATCTCCCAGCCCTCCTGTGGTGTTTGGATGAAATGAATGTTACTGAAATGCAGCTAAAATGGGGTTTTCTAAGCTTACTCCAGTGTAAATCATGCCTGTTATGTGTTAGGTGCATGCATGATGTTTCTGATCTCTAGTCTGCCAGTGATGGGTCACCTTCCTCTTACCATTTTCCACGTTACAGAGGATGGCTGATGGGTGGGGGTTTGTGGCGGTGCTGGGAAGCTTAGGGGCTGAGTTTTGCTTGCCTTGGCCTGTTGGGGCTTGAGTTCCCCGGGGATAGGGACTTTACAAAAGTACCGCCCTGCTATTGTTGCCTTTCCTTGCATCAAATTGAATAGCCACAGGAGGGACTTGCACATGTCTGTGATAGCTTTGATAAAATATCCCTCATTAATGCCACTTTATATTTACAGTGTGTCACTGGAGACGCACAAGGCTTCATTTAGTGACTTGTGTGACGAGACAAGCTTGCATTATTTGCCTGGGACATTTTGGAGGAACAAGAGACCCATTGAGCAATCTTTTGAAATGAACAAATACGGAAAAAGGGAGGAATAAAAGAGGAGGCAGTTCTCTGGAACAAAGAGCTTTATTCATATGGATGTTGTACATGCTTTATCCAGTTTTCCCTAATCGCCCTCCTGATAAGGGGGAGTGGGACCTGGAAGAAGCCAGTAGGCAGGACACTTGCTTCCTCTCTTACTTCCTGACTTCGTATTCTTATCCGAGTTGGTGCTCAACTCCCTGACTGCTCATCTGCTTCCACTCCTTCTCAAACTCCAGAAGGTAACAGGTTCCTGGGTGTAAAAGGGATATTTTCAAATCCTTTCTCCTAGCTCTGAATTTCAACAGAAGAAAATTCTAGCTACCTGTTGAGATTGATGGTGGTTGGAGGATATATTTATTGGTTGAAGGCAAAGCGATGTCATTTTTCTATGATGAATCAAGAAGTGGTTGATAGTGAATGTCAGATTGGTAAGATGTCTTGTAATTATAAATATTAGCCTTGCTATTTATTTTCAAAGAAATGCCGTGAAAACTAAAATCCAAAGTTTTCATTGTAATTAATGGTGCTCTTGAAGTTTTTAGTGCCTTTTCCCCACACTTGATCCATTTTGGACCCCCACGTAAGTGAAATATTATTCCTTGGCCTATACTGCTAATGATTTTTAGGCTTTCAACAATTGATAATATTGCTGTGAATATAAACTCATTCTGTGGGTTTCTGTATGTGACATTTTAATGCCTAATCAGCCACTTAGAATTTACATTTTAAAAATGGTTTTGTGTGCGTGTGTGTTTAACAAAAGGCCCATTTTTATGTGGGTGAATCTCTTAAATTGGGCCACACTAATCGATGCTATGATTTGAATGGAAATTTACCAGCATATGAAGAAAATTTAAAAGAAATAAATCCAAAGGACTCAAATGCTATATATCTCTTTCTTGGGAAGAATAGTACTGACCATTATGCTGGGCATTTTTATTTTAAACTGAAAATCCAGCACGGAAAGGAGAAATCACACAGCGACATCTGTTGCAGAATTGAAAATTTGCTGCTTTGAGTTGGAAGCAATTAGTCCCATATAAGCACCTAATGGAATCAGTTACTGTGTGTGTGAGTATATGCATGTGTGTGTTCTTGTACAAATGTGTATGTACACACATATCTATATGCACACATAAAAACTCACACAATACGATATTCATATTCGCATTTAAAAAGTATTTAACAGAAAGTGTACCTACCATCTTAGTTTTCAAGCTCTTTTGCTTGATATACCTGTTGAGGAATTAGAGATTCTTATAATCATGGAATTTTTAAAAGGGGAAAGATATTAGAAATCATTTGGTGAAACCCCCATTATTTTGCAGTGAGTCAGCTAAAGCCAGAGAAGGAAGGACCTTACTTACCTGAACTGAAGCTAAGTTAGCTGTGCATCCTAGATGGGGAGCAGGTCCAGGACCCTTGATGTCCAGCCAGTGAACCTTCTGTTGCACCTCCCAGCAGGGATGCCCAGTGAGGGATATGGATCATGAGCAGACAATCTCTTGGCTAGGAATAGTTTGTATTCTGAAGGCAGCAAGATTAATTGTTGTTCTAGGCAATAAACCCATGGATCAGAGGAGTGACCTCTTGGAAAAAAAGACCAGTTCTTGGTGAGGTTGTCTTTGGTTTTGACAAATGATTCTGAAACCTCTGGACTTTATTTGGCAGCCACAACATGAATGTCGTCCAAAGCACCTTCATAGGTGAGAGCTCTGGATTTGTGTCGCTGTAATAAGTCAAATGCGTGAAAACTAGGTTTCAGAAGCCTCAGCTTTAG